CAGAGACATTCCTCCTCGCCTATACGCTCCTTGGAATCTGTGGAGTCTGAGTGAGAAAGGCACATCCGTGAAAACGGAGATGTCTCAGATGGCAAGGGAGGGAAAAATGCAGAGGAATCGTTTCCATGATGATTTATCAGCACTTCTGATCAGAAGAGACTGAAAAAAGTGCGATAAACTTAAAATTTACCCCCCCCCCCAAAAAACCAAAACCACCTGGAAGTAGGGAAAGTACAGGCTGTTGTTTTAGGTCGATAGGGAGGACTTGAAACAATGCCTGCCAGAAAAGGTGAATGCAGACAAAATGCACTCTCCTCCCATACATTGTATAGGAAGAGATGAAGAATAGGAAGAAAAAGCTGACTTCTCTGCCAGAGACCAAAGGGGGTGCTTTCAACCTTTGGCTTGCAGTCTGTAAAGGAGCAGTCACGTGATCATACCACAACTCCCTACCTGTCCAAATAGTTGACGAGATTTGGATGTTTATAGTCTCTCATGATCATGAGCTCATCAACAATTTGTTCCTTTCTGCGCTGTTTGTGGAGATAAACTTGCTTTATGGCCACCTGAAAGGACACGGAAAGCCATGACCTTGGGAAGTCTCTTGCCCAAGATCAGAACAAATTTTGATTTGGCAACTCTAAAGAACACTCTTGAACACAGCTTAGATTTGCCTTTGTTTCCTGGCTTGAAAGACAAACCAGATGCTCTCGGGCATTTTATGGATACGCTCCGGGTTAGGAGCAGGGCTTGGGGTTTTTACTCCCTGCTAGAACTCCATGTAAGCCCAGTTCGAAAGCCCAGCACTGCCTGGGGATGAGAAACTCCCCAGAAGATTGCGATGTGGTTGCTGACAGCCAGAAATGCTGAAATGTCTGAAATGCGAAGCTGGAACCCCAAAGGGCTGTCCCAAATGGATTTGGTAGGCTGGCACGGGACTGCGCTCCAGAGGAACAGCCCTTGCAGGAAAGATCTGCTGGGGACCCAAAGCTCCATCCACAGCTCGGCCCAGAGTGGAAAGCAGCACTGGAGAGTTGCAAAACCTGCTGGGAACCTTGACACTTACCTCTCCTCCTGTGGCAGTGTCGGTCACTCTGTAGACCGTTCCGAAAGCCCTAGAAAGGAAAGAGCAGCAAAGAAAGGAATGTTTTCCATTTCGAAACCATGTGGTTCTACTCCTGAGGAGCACGGAAGATTGTTCTCAGCCAAATATTTGAAGTTCCTGAGAACTGTGATCTGACAGCTCTCAGGTGCTGGGTTGCTCTTTTAGGCAAGAAAGTTTCTTTCTCCTTTCTTGCCCTTGGCTGTACGATGTGGAGACACAGAGGCATCATATCTCCCAAGGAAAGCATCA